GTTCTTCAAATATTCGATGAGGCTCAAGAGGAACCGAGGAAAGAGGTAAGGAAAAAGTCATGGCTTGCAGGAATTGGGATGGGATCTGCGCAATGCCTCACTTTCGTGTCATGGGCTCTGGATTTTTGGTTTGGTGGTACCTTGGTTCAAAAGGGAGAGATCTCCGCTGGAGATGTGTTCAAAACATTTTTCATCTTGGTGAGCACCGGACGGGTCATAGCAGAAGCAGGGAGCATGACTTCTGATCTTGCAAAAGGCTCAACAGCAGTTGCTTCTGTGTTTGAGATCATCGACCGACAATCCTTAATTCCTGGCTCATCTCAAGTAAGTAGATGGTTCCCTTAATCCTAAATTGAGATCGGAAAATGAATCCTGTTAAACTAACCAACTTTGTTTCAGGCTGGAGACGGTACTAGTAATGGAAGAAAGTTAGAGAAAATAACAGGAAGAATAGAGATTAGGAAGGTAGATTTCTCCTACCCAAGTCGGCCGGATACCGTTGTGCTCCGGCAGTTCTCCCTGGAGGTGAAGCCTGGGACGAGCATTGGACTAGTTGGAAAAAGTGGCTGCGGGAAATCCACTGTGATCGGATTAATTCAAAGATTCTATGATGCTGAGAGTGGATCAGTTAGGGTAGACGGTGTTGACATAAGGGAACTTGATATTCAATGGTACAGGAAGCATACGGCCCTCGTCAGCCAAGAACCTGTGATATACTCCGGTTGCATCCGCGACAACATTGTCTTTGGAAAGTTTGATGCCTCTGAAAATGAAGTGGTGGAGGCTGCTAGGGCTGCAAACGCCCATGAATTTATCTCGTAAGTCTTTCTGTTTTTGTGAACTTCTATAATTTAAGACCCGAACATTCTTGAACCTTCACCTAACAACTTAAGCTCGTACTGATTGTTTGCAGTGCATTGAAAGATGGATATGAGACGGAATGTGGGGAAAGGGGTGTACAATTATCAGGAGGGCAAAAGCAGAGGATTGCAATTGCCAGGGCCATAATTCGGAATCCGATAATATTGTTGCTGGATGAGGCAACAAGTGCTCTGGATTTGCAGTCGGAGCAGGTTGTTCAGGAAGCGTTGGACCGGATAATGGTGGGAAGGACGACGGTTGTGGTGGCTCACCGGCTGAACACCATAAAGAAACTGGACTCAATAGCATTTGTGGCGGACGGGAAGGTGGTGGAGCGCGGAACCTATGCTCAGCTGAAGAACCGGCAAGGCGCATTCTCCAAACTAGCTAGCCTGCAAACCACATAACTGGATTATTAATATAGGTGAAGGGCTGGGATAGGAATGAAATTAACCAGTAAATGTATGATGGTTTTTTTTTTTTTTTATGGTCCTGTAAATGTATAATGCTAATAAATATATAGCTTCATTAATATATAATATGTATGTTTAATTATATAAATTGGCAATGTGCTTTCTTTGTTCGCCAAGGACGTCTTTGGCTCATTGGTAAAAACTAAGGTGCCATAGTCTTGAAGTCCATAATTTTGGAATGAAATTAACCGGTAAATGTGCTTTCTAATGATTTGAACCTTTTGGATGGACATGGTCACGAACTGGGGATGCCATTTGCAAACTATTTATTTAGTCTTAGTGTATGTGTTAGTCATTTTTTTGTAGTACTAAAGATAAAAACTAAGGCTGTTTAGTGACGCTGCAGTTGTTGTTTTCAATATATAATCCATTGTATACTTATTGCTGGATTATTATATGTAAAATTTGTGGTTAAAAATAAAAGAATAAGAACAATAATGTTACTCCACATGTTTTTAGTCTAATGCATGCAAATTGATTCATGATATTTGTCAATTATAACTAATTAATTAATTAATTAATTAATTTTAAGGTGTTTTCGACTTATTTTTTATGCACTTCAAAACTTATATTTTCTCTAATAATTTTAAAGATGTATCTCTTGCAATAGCATAGTATATTTAAAGAATTCTTTTAATACAAATTTCAAAACTTAAACTATAAATTTGATCTATAAAATAATATTTATTTACTAATAAATGTAATCTTTATGGTGAAAAAAATTGTGTTAGTTTTAAGTCTTTAGCTGTAATGCAAATTGAAAGAAAGAGGAAGAAAAGAGAAAGCAACTGGTGGGATTGGATCTTTTGCATGGGGTATGACCATGACCATACCCGTAATGGGAAAAAAGAAACCTTCTCTACATTATCCCAACACTGGAGCCCTCCTCTTTTCATTTTCTACCGATTATAATTATAATTTACCCACTGCTTAAAGTTTAAACCCTCCAATTATATATTTAAATCCCTTGTATTCTTCATGCTACTTGGGACAAAAAAGTTTTGGTGAGCCCATTCAAACATCACCATGCCTATGGGCCATGCCTTTGTGCCCTGTGTCCGTGAGCTTTAGG